GCAAAAATTCGGCAGATGGTCTATTACGATTGCGGACGACCTATCCCGCATCAATGCGAACAACAGTAAGCACTACACAACTCCGAACCACGACGACATACGCAACTGGATAGGCATGGCAAAAGACGAGCCCTTCAAGTTCAAGAGTATAACTACACACGCCTACAAGACAGCCGTCGAGTACAGAGAGAAAGCAGCCACAGCTGCCTGGAGACGGCGCATCAACGACATCTGCAACGACACCACAATACCGACGCCTGGCAGAGAAGTCTCAGGACACGACAGTAGGTACTTATGCTACGAATGCGGGCAAATCCTGTGCAGCAAGGCAGCTTAGCAGAAGCACATGCACGCACATCACACCCAGGACGAGAACTTCATTCACTACATCTACGGGCCTATATGCCAGGTCTGTATGATGGACTACTTCACGGTCAATCGACTGTTCAAGCACATGTGCGCCAACCGACAGTGTGCAGCGCTCACAATGCAGTTCAGCAAGCGGCTCGACGACGACGCGGCAGCAGACACATCCGAAGAGATACGGCGCATAAGGCGGACCAACAATAATAAAATACCTACCTGAAGACTACGCAGAGCGCCCGCGCATCCAACTACACGGGCCACCACTCGCACTACGAACAAGAGTTGGCACCGAACTCGCTGCAATGATACCTGCACCAGTTCCTCTGTCACCACAAGCAGATGAGACGACTGACGTGTGACGAGGACTCACGGAAGGTGCCCTGGATCGGGAGAACCGACTATGTCACGAGATGGTCGACTGCGAGACACCATTAGCACGCGAGGACATGCTGAATCGGACGTCGGCAATCATTCTCATCACCAGCAAGGACGCCACCAGCGACGACACGCTGCGAATCGTCAACGGTATCGAGCGGCAAGCAACCACACAACACCGACGAGTACGACTCCTTACAATAGCGAGTCATAAGAGTCAGGCAGACAACGACAGAAGTCCCGACTACACCAACAACGCCATCCAACAAGCAATACGGAACATAGCCATTGACGCCATCTATTACAAGAAGACCATACCGAACTTAGACAATATAAGACAACTATGTGACGAGCAGCACCCGTGGGGAAGAAGAGACTCTAGCGGACAAACATCCAAGACCATCATGGAGGACAACGCGAAGATAGGCGATTCCATCTTCCTCATGTACAATTGCATCGCCAACGACGCGGCCTGCCTCATGAACGTCTGAGCGATCATGGCAATCGCCCCGCATGCGCTCCAACACTTGAAGAGCAACAACCTCATTGCCATGCCCGACAACAGCATCGCAAGCATGCACTTACAGCACGCCAGCGACGACGACGGCGACATCCCACGCATCCTGACGGCTGCATATGCACACAGCCACAGCTACGAACAGCAGCCGGACAGGCTCACGGACTACGTGACCCACTACGACTGGTACATCGCCTCCCTGAAGCCTGGCATCGCTCGGACGTGTGCATGTTTCCCTCGTCGAGGACCATCGAGGAACATCCTTGATGATTTGGCGAAAAAGCCACGCACGAAACCGACAAAACACAGGAAATCGACGTCCGAGCGATGGCCAGTGAAGGCGGGGGGCGGATGGGGGCGACACCTTCTTGTGAAGAAAGGCCCGCGGAGGGCGTTCGGCCGCGGGGGCCCCCGTGAAGGCCCCTGGTCTCCCCTCCCTCCTCCAGGGCCGCACTGAGCCTCCGGAGGCCCCTCCCTCCCTCCCTGGCCTCGCGGCCCTGCGGCCGCTTCCCTCTAGCTCTGTTGTCCGCGGGCCCCCTCCTGCGCTCCTTGCCTGGCCTGGTTCCTGATGGCTCCCTGTTCCTGGCGCGGCTCCTGGCTCGGGGGGGCCCGTCGGGCTACATGTGCAGGTGTGCCTCGGCCCCCCGTCCACCACCCCTGGCATCGATGGCGTGCTGGTGGTCCTCGACGCTATCGGGGTGTTGGTAGGGGGCCCGGAGGACCCGTAGTTTTAGGCGGCCTGGTGCCCCCCGCGTTCCCTCTCTCCGAGGACCTCTGAGGCCTTGTTTCTCTTCCTTCCTGGCGGGGGTCCCGTGTGCCCCTGGCCCGCTCTTCGAGGCTTCCTGGATTTCTCGGCGGCCGTCGGAAGTAGTTCGGGTTTTGCGTCGTGCCGCGCGGGCGCGCCGCGCGGCGCGGCGCGGGCTCCAGCGGATGTGACCGCTCGTACGCCCGCGCGCCTGAGGAGAATGATGAGGAGGAGGAGGAGGAGGAGGATGAGGAAGGAATAGGAAGAAGGAAGAAGAAGAAGAAAAGAGGAGGAGGAGGAGGGAGGAGGAGGAGGAGGAGGAGGAGGAGGAGGAGGACGAAGAGCAGGAACCTGAGGAGCATGAGCAGGAGCAGCAGAAGCAACAAGCGCAGCAGCAGCGCCAGCAGCAGCAGCAACATCAGCAGCAGCAGCAGCAGCAGCAGCCCCTTATTCTGCAGCCACCCCTGCCTGCCGAGTGTGCTGTTGGTGGAGGTCTGGCTAACGCCCGCCCGAAGTGTGCAGAGCAACCACGCGACGGCTCGTCAGTTGGTCCAGCTTGATGCCCTGCACTGTCAACTCTCGCGCCCTGGCGTCCACCCAGCCCGATCGACAACTGTTGCCTTACGACAGGAGCATGAGCATGAGGGCGAGGGCGAGAGGAAGGACGGTTGCGAATTATAGGAGCGAGGAGGAATGAATAGAGAGACAGAGAGAGAGAGAGAGAGAGAGAGAGAGAGAGAGAGAAAGAGAGAGAAAGAGAGAGAAAGAGAGAGAGAGAGAGAGAGAGAGAAAGAGAGAGAGAGAGAGAAGGAACGAGAGAGAGAGAGAGAGAGAAACAAAAAGAAAAAGAAAGAGATAATAAGTAGGAGGAACACGAGGGCCCCGTCGCCTTTCTAATTTGCAGGTTGGGAGTCCATGCGGGCGCTTCTAGCAGCACAGTCTGCTCGGTGTGGCCCTACTGTCCAGCCTGCCGTTTGCCGACCCCCTCTATATAGTAGCAACCGACTGGGAGATCGACCCTGCAAACGCTATGTTCTCTTCTCTTCCACCCTTTTTTCCCTGCCGGCTCCCCATTCTCCTCCTCGCCCTCCTCATTGCCCTCTCTCTACCGGGGTCTCCTTAAGTCCTTTCAATCCCTGGCCTGTTTCACTGCGTGTCCGCTGGCTTGTCTGTACCAGATTCCCGTACAACCCTCGACACAATTCATCTCAAACATGTCAGTTACGCCCCCTCAATGTCGGGGCGCCCCTTCAATGTCGACACTCCCGGAAACGTCGTGGTCAGGGGGCATTTGATTGTTCAGCAGGGTCATGCCGAAAGTTCGATGATGATCGACAATAAAGGGGGCGCGCCAAGAAGTACGGCGCGCTCATCGCCAGCCACTCCAGAAGCACACACAAACTCAAGGTGATATGCAACACATTTTTGGGGATCTTTTGACGAGGGTAGTAAGAAGAGTCTGGTGTGACTACTCTTGAATGTCCTCTGCATTCGTCTGCGCCTGCAGATCCCCCGTCCAACCCAGGCTCTCGGGCTCCGCAGTGGTTCCTGCGCAGGTTTTTCCCTTTGATCTTGGTGAGTTCAGGTCTACACCCGGGGCGCCGAAGCAACGAACGCGTATGGCTCGGAGGGGACTCGTTGCTCTTTGGGTCTGCCCTTGCGTCCCTGCCCCAAGCAGGACGCCTCAATCCGACGGTTCGTCCGCGATTCCGTCCCCCTGGCAGGGTGTGGCCACCCTGGCGGCCTCCGTCTACCCCAAGCGCATCATCGTGCGTTTGTCGGACTTCAAGTCCAACGAGTACAAGTCGCCCCAGCCGCCCCTTCGGGAGGGGACGAAGGGAACGTCCGCGTGACCTCTCTTCTTTTTGGACTGCGCTCGTGGGTGATGATGGTGATGGTGATGGTGATGGTGGTGATGATGAGGATGAGGATGGAGATGAGGATGACGACGATGAGGATGGCGATTACGACGAAGATGGCGGTGATGATTGTGATGGTGATGGTGAGGGTGATGATGGCGATGGTGACGGTGATGATGATGACGATGATGATGATGATGATGATGATGATGATGATGATGATGATGATGATGATGATGATGATGATGATACTCATGATGAGGAAGAGGATGATGATGAGGCTGTTGATGCTGATTATCATGATCGGGTGAGGAGTGATGAGGTGATGGTGCGACGGATGAGGCGGGGAGGGGGGCGGGGGAAGTAGACAAGGAGGAGGGTGAGGAGGACCAGTGTAAACCCCACGATGCAGCAGCGACGCTGCAAACTACACACAGTTCATGTTCAGTGCGGGAAGCTGCACATCATAATCCAGGCGTCTCAGACCTTTCCAAAGTGCCTCAACGCAATTCCTGGGACTGCGACGCCGCGGATCAGCGCCACTGTCACGTCCTGACACGCCTGGCTCGTGCCAGACACCATGCCTGGAACTTCAGCGCCGCGGATCCACGTGGCTGTTATGTCCTGGCAATCCTAGCCCGTGTCAGAACACCATTCCTGGGATTACACCGCGAGTCTATGTGATTTTCGCATCCTGGCAGTCCCCAATCGTGTCAGAGCACAATCCCTGGGACTTCGACCAGACGAATCCGGAACTTATACTTGATTTTCAGACGAATGTGCGCGGTGCGAAGGCGAGAGCCACATTCCAAACACGACCTGCCTTCCATCCGTGACACTGATGCAGATTTTCAAGACGAATTTGCGCGGCGCTAAGGCGAGAGCCACGTTTCGAAAAGGACCCGCCCTCCATCTTTGCAACTGATGCACGCTTTACAGTAGACGAATGTGCGCGGCGCTGAGGCGAGAGCCACATTTTGAATGCGACCTGTCTTCCTTCCGTGGAACTGCTGCGAACTTTTCAGACGAATGTGCGCGGCGCGAGGGCCCGAGTCGCATTTTGGAAAAGACCCGCCCTCCATTCGTGAAATTGTTCCGCCATTGTCAGACGAACGCGCGCGGCGCTACGGCGAGAGTCACAGTTTGAAAAGGAGCCGCCCTTCATCGGCAAAACTGCTTCAAACTTTTGAGGCGCCTGTGCGCAGCGCTAACGCGAGAGCCTCAGTTTGAAAAGGACCTGCTCTCCATTCGTCACACCGTGCCAGGTCTCAAGCTTCGATCATACATGGCGAAAAGGTCTCAGGCGAAACGCCCGGCCCGCCCAACCGACACGTTTGGGCGTGCGACAGGAAGGATGGAGAAGCAGGAGGAGAGGGAGAGGAAGAGCAAGGGGTGGTGCGGGGGGGGGAGCGGGAGGAATAGGACCTGGTCAGAGGTGCCGGCGAGTGCCCTCCACGGCGCGGGCGTTCATCGGTAACTACGGGGGGGTCATCGTCCCCCCCCTCTTCGTTGTGGTCGTCGTCATTGCGGTCTTCGTCCTCGTCGTCGTCGTCGTCGTCGTGGTCGTCGTCGTTGTGGTCTTCGTCCTCGTCGTCGTCGTCGTCGTCGTGGTCGTCGTCATTGTGGTCTTCGTCCTCGTCGTCGTCGTCGTGGTCGTCGTCGTTGTGGTCTTCGTCCTCGTCGTCGTCGTCGTCGTGGTCGTCGTCGTTGTGGTATTCGTCCTCGTCGTCGTCGTCGTCGTCGTCGTGGTCGTCGTCGTTGTGGTCTTCGTCCTCGTCGTCGTCGTCGTCGTCGTGGTCGTCGTCGTTGTGGTATTCGTCCTCGTCGTCGTCGTCGTCGTGGTCGTCGTCGTCATCGTGGTCGTCGTGGTCGTCGTCGCGGTCGTCTTCACTGTGGCATTCGTCCTCGTCGTCGTCGTCATCGTCGTAGGCCTTGCCCTCGTCGCCGCCCTCGTCGCCGCCGCCGCCGCCAGCCTCCTCCTCGTCCTCTCGCGCATCCTCCCGCACGCTCTCCTTGTCGTCGCCGCTACAGTGGAAGCCCATGCCAAGAGACATCCTGCTTGCCTCCAGGGTGCCCTGGGTTTCTTAGGTTTCGATGGGTTTGCTCTGGAAAGTGCGACGTACCCACACAATGAAATCATTGGGCGTCCTGGGGTCTCAGGGTTGGGCTTCTTGTGGAAGGTGTGGGCGAGCTCCCACTGTACTTCTCCTCGCCTTCTGCGCGCATTCTCCCTGCCGGCCCCGCAGGTCCCTCATCGGCGGGGAGGCGTACGAGCCCGACGAGGAGCGAGTGGCCCTCTCGGGGGTTAGGGCGCCCGGGGGGGGGGAGTCGGGTCCGGCAAGGAGGCGCTGGGGGGAACGGGTGGGAAAGCATTCGCCAAACCAATCCGTCTGAAATGTGAAGGACGTGGCACACGAATCGGTGCCCTGACGCCACGGTCAGTTGTTCATGGTGCCTCCCGCCCTTCTGATTGCCCCTGCTCTTCGGCCCTGTCGGGCAGACCGCTCCCGTGAGATGTCCTGCTGGTGTGGCGAGGTCGAGTGGACAAGACAGCTGTGTTGCAGCGCTCTGTGCACGTCCAACACACCACATGCGATCCTGCATGGCTTCAAGATGCGCAGTGCTGCGGAAGGCGGAAGGGCAGGGAGCATGACAGCAGAGAGACCAGGCTCTCATGCGCAGGTGCCTGGTCCAGTCCCCGGGTGGCGTGCGGGCCCCCAGCGGCCGCAGCTTCTCAGCGATCCCGCGGCGTGTCTCGTAAGACCGCGCGTGAATCGCCCTCGCCTGCTCCTTCTCCTCCGCCTCCGCCTCCCCCTCCGCCTCCTCCTCCTCCTCCTCCTCCTCCTCCTCCTCCTCCTCCTCCTCCTCCTCCTCCTCCTCCTCACCTCCTCCTCCTCCTCCTCCTTCCTCCTCCTCCTCCTCCTCCTCCTCCTCCTCCTCCTCCTCCTCCTCCTCCTCCTCCTCCCTCCTCCTCCTCCCCTCCTTCTGCGACGCGCGGGGTCGGGGCCCCGCGCCAGCCGTCGGCCCCGGACCCGCGCCGCCGGGGCGTGCCCTGGCCGGCACCTCGGAGGCGGGCCCCCCGCGGCGGCGGCGAGGCGGCGCAGGAGGAGCCACAGTCGGGGTTGGACAGAACCCCCAACAGTGACACGTCGATTAGTGAATTGTCCGTTTTCGGTTCTCGAGAGGGCGCCGTGGCCGTTATTTTCCAGGCTTGCGCCCGCCAGGTTTGGGCCTCAGGTCGTTTTCACTAAACCACGTTTTACTAAAGGGGGGTCTGTCCATCCCGACACAGGCTCGGCGGCGATCTTGGTGGGGGGGGGGGAGAGGGGGAACGAAAAGTGGCATAAACGTAACAACTCGGAGGTCCGCGCGGATTTCTCGGATCGGCGCCCCCTCCCTGGCGCGCGGAGCGCGCCAGGGGCGGCGCCGGAGGCGCCGCCGGGGGGCCCCAGCGCCGATCCGAGGAATCCGCGCGGACCTCCGAGTTTTTATGTTTAAGTCATTTGTTGTTCCCCTAGGGGAGGTGAGAAGGCAGTTTGGGTGCAGCAGTTTTCGGCCACCCCTTCCTGAAACTTTCCCGAGGAAGGTCTTCTGAAGGTTTTTTGGGGGGAGCCCTCCGGAAAAGCCTTTCGGAGGCAGGTTCTTGGAAGGTCTCTGAGGGGCGCCTCCAAAGAGGCCTTCGCAGGAGGAGGCGGCGCTTCTCAGAAGGCCTGAGGTTCTCTGTGCCTTCGGGGAGTGCTTTGACAACTTCTGAGAAGGCCCGGGGACCTCCGAGCCTTCCGGGGAGGCCCGCCTCCTCTCGCCTCCCCCCCTGGGCTCACCGCCGACGAACGCCCAGAGGCTTCGATCCTCGAAGCCTGAGGCGTCGCCACGATGCTCCTCCTCCTCCTCCTCCTCCTCCTCCTCCTCCTCCTCCCGATGTTCAAAGATGTCGGCGGGATCCTGTCGACGCCGACCTTGGCAGGGCCGTCCACGATCCGATTCGATGCAATTCGATTCGCCGGCGGGGGCCGCGATTCCAACTCGGTGCGATCCGGCTCTATTCACCAGCATCGGCCAGGGCCAGCCGGAAGCGGGGCGTGGCGATTCGATACCGATCCGATTCGGGACGATTCGCTGGCGATTCGATCCGCTCTCGATCCAATCCGATCTCGCGATCCGATCCATCGCAGACCTGCCATGATCATGGTCCATGCCGGCCATCGCCGATCCGCGAGGATGATTCACGAGTGGACGATGACCAAGATGGAAGGTGGCCAGGATCGACACCGAGGAGGAGGATGAGGACGAAGAGGAGGAGGAGGAGGAGGAGGAGGAGGAGGAGGAGGAGGAGGAGGAGGAGGAGGAGGAGGAGGAGGAGGAGGATGGGCGTTTCCGCGTTCAGTCTTGGTCCTCGCCTTCTTTCCCTCCACAGGCCGGCGGCGCGGCCGGGGGGATGCGAGAGGGGGCGGATCTTCTCGGACGGCTCCGAAGTCCTCTGGCCTCCTGAGACGCCTCGAGAAGCCCCGCCGCCTTCCGAGAAGGCCTGCCCCTTCTCGCTTCCATCACCAGCCTCGAACCTATCCCTATCCCTAAGATTGACACGCCAAAAGGCGATGACAATCTTAGGGATTCGCCTTCAAAAAATAAGGGAATCCCTAAGCTTGGCATCGTGATGAGGAGGTGCCCAGCATAGGGATAGGTTCCAGGCTGGTAATCCCCCCCCTCGCTCGCCGCCGCACAGGAGAACCCCATGATCGGCTTCCGCGGCTGCGGCCGCTACGCGGACCCCGCCTTCGAGGAGTGCTTCGCCCTGGAGCTGCAGGCCATGAAGCGGGTCCGCGAGGACGCCCCTCCGCCCTCCGCCGGCCAGAAGGGGGCGCCCGCCGCGGGACAGCGTCGGGGCTTGAGCGCAGGCCGAGGTGCAGGAGGGGAAAAAGCACACACACACACAGACACCTCCTCCTCCTCCTCCTCCTCCGCCTCCGCCTCCGCCTCCTCCTCCTCCTCCTCCTCCTCCTCCTCCTCCTCCTCCTCCTCCTCCTCCTCCTCCTCCCCCTCCCCCTCCTCCCCCTCCTTCCCCTCCTCCCCTCCTCCCCCTCCTGCCACTGTGGCTCAGGGGGCGGACTGGCTCGGACCGAGCTGTCGAGCGGGCCCCCAGGCGTCTGTAATCGTCGATTCCCTCGAACATATGGGAAAATATGGGAAATGGTGGGGAAGACGAAAACCCAGAAAATGTAGGTGCATATGGGGAATCCTATGATTTGCGTTTGTTGTTGTTGTTGTTGTTGTTGTTGTTGTTGTTGTTGTTGTTGTTGTTGTTGTTGTTGTTGTTGTTGTTGTTGTTGTTGTTGTGTGTGTGTGTGTGTGTGTCTGTGTGTCCCAGGGCCCCCTCAGAGGTGCAGACCGAACTGCGAATCGGCACAGCGAGGGGAGGGGGGGGAGAGGGGGGCGGGGAGAGGATGAGCAGGGCTGGACCTAAACGCCGTTTTGCTGGACTTCGGCTGTGTTCTGTTTTTCGGTGTGGCAGGGAGGTTCAGGGAAACAGGCAGAGCAAAACAACAACTAAACGAACAACAACGTTCAGGTCCAGCCCTGGGGTACCCATACCGCTACCCTTTGTCCGTTTTCCCCTGATTCGTCCTCCTGGGAGGCCCTCGTCGCCGCTGGATTCGCTTCGAAATTCTGGTCAGAACGCACCCGGGAGAGGTTTGGGGAGTTGTGGTATCGGTACTTGTTTATGGTTTCCCCAGAAGGGGGGAGGGGGATGATGAGGAGGAGGGGGAGGAAGAGGGGGCAGAGGGAGGAGGAGGAGGAGGACGCGGAGGAGGAGGGCGACGAGGCCAGGGGGGAGGAGGGCGAAGAGAAGGAGGCGAGGGGGGTGGAGGCGGGTTGCGTTCCCCCTTTTCCTTTTGGGCCTGTCGGGGATCCCCATCGCTACAGGTGGAATCGCTTCGAAACCCTGGTGGCCGCGCTCCACGAGAGGTCTGTCTGGGGGGAGTGTAGGGAGGGAGAGGATGAGATGCGACGCATTGTTTGAGATGTTTGTGATGCAATCCAAGAGGTTCGACGGGGCGCAGGGGGTTCCGCTGCGTTGTGGAAGGTTCTAGGAATGCTTGGAGTAGGAGGAAGAGGATGCAGAAGTTGTCACGCTTCCAGTTTTTTCCATGAGTGACAGAGGTAGCAGGTTGTGTGTGTGTGTACCTATTTGTATCGGTTCCTTTGTAGAGTTGCGGAGGCCACCACAGCGCAAGCTGAGCTCATGAGGGCGAGGAGGTTGGCGAGGAGCAGGAAGGCGGGAGATGAAGTAGATGATGGTGTCAAGGAGTTGGGAAGGGGGAGAATACGAGGGGGGGCAGGATAGGGGGAGGAACGGAATGGCCGTCTTCGCGATACAAAGCTAAACTCCCCACTCTGCAGACCCCCAGACCGCCACGGAGACCGCGAGCGGGAGGTGCCAGACAGCGCCGACGAATCTCTTTGATATTTTCTGTAGACAATGACGATGTCCATCGGCAGTTGCCCGAGACGACCAAACCTGTTAGAAAGAAACCTCTTACTTTTGAAATTTGGAGGCAGCTCCATTCACCCTATCTCCGTCAACCGTGGACGCCACAGAGCGCGGGCGAAGAGCACGGATGCCACCCGCCGGAGCCAACCCCGCGGCAGCGGACCGTTCTTGCGATGTCGGCGGCGGGGAGCTTGCATTGCAGTAGGTAGCAGATCTTCGATCACGCCCAGGAGGCCCCCACGGCAGGTGCTGAGGCATGCCCCGCTGGAGTGAACCCCCAAATCCACGGCCAAACAAATTGTGAGATGGGCACGTCGCGGCTATGTGCGAGACATGCAACACCCATACTGAGTGACCAACAAAACAACATAATGGTTAGCCAGCGTGGACCCCAACGAGGGTGTGTTCCGTAAGTGCTTCGCCCTCTGCCAGCGGCCCCTCTATATCTTGGCACTGCTCGGACGTGTGTGTGTGTGTGTGTGTGTGTGTGTGTGTGTTTCTCCCGGCGAGAGTCATCAGGGAGTACCTCGGATCACCTTACGAACAAAAAAAAACGAAACCAAACAGTGCACGGGGAATGGACATCCGAGCGATGGCAAGATCTTACATGACGAACCAACAACACACACACACACACCCATACCCATAGGGGGATCGGAGAGGGCTATGGGTGCGTGATGTCGGATGGGGGTCCCCGCTCGAACGGGAGCGTTCCCCAGGGTCCGACAACCCGCACCCATACCCATAGCCAGTCCTCCTCCCAACGACCTACCTATGGGTATGGGTGTGTGTTGTTCGTTCGTCATTACAATGGGAGGTGTCAGATCTATGCCGGGACCTGTCGGTGCTGTGGAACGTGTCGTTCTCTTCCCGGAGCTCGCAGCCTGTGGACGTTGCGAGAGGCCCGGCCTCGGGAGGGCGACCCTGGCGTAAGTATTTACCAGCCTGGAACATATTCCCATCCCTATGCTGGGCACCTCCTCATCACGATGCCAATCTTAGGGATTCCCTTATTTTTTGAGGGCGAATCCCTAAGATTGTCATCGCCTTTTGGTGTGTCAATCTAAGGGATAGGGATACGTTGGAGGCTGGTAATATGTTGCTTTTTTAAGGATTCCGGCCACCGGAGCTCGACTTCTGCTTACAGTGCCACGGATGCTGGCCTCGCGAGCGCGAACCTGGCGTAATCTGATGGGCCTGTTTCCCACCGCCACCACCATAAGTTGAAGGGGAGGGGGTCCTCTTCCTTCTCCTCCTCCTCCTCCACCTCCTCCTCCTCTTCGTCCTCCTCGTCGTCGTCCTCCTCCTCCTTCCCCCCATCCAGTGTATTGTGTTGGTGGTGGAAAACAGGCCCAGCGTAATTTACCAAGGATGCTGGTTTCGAAAGCGCGAGTCTTGCGCAATTTGGCGAAAGAAGCTGGTCTTGACCGCGCGAGGGGGCTTGTGGCCTCGGGATGGTGAGCCGCGCGTAAGTTACGAAGGATTTATTGGCCTCGGTGGCACGAATTTCTCCGATTAGTGCTATTCCTTGGGTTCCTCAGGCGCTTCTGGGGCCAAGAGGGGACTTCGTTCCTTCTTTTGCGTTCCTTAACTTCAGTCGTCGATTTTCTCATCCTCGTGCAGGAGGCGCAGGCCACCCACACAGCAAGGTACAGGAGGCGCAGCTTCCATCCACGCACAGCCAAGACGCTGGAGTAAGGAACAACCTGAACTCGGAGGCGGCTCGCTATTCCGCGCTTCTGGGGCCAAGAGGGGGCTTCGTTCCTTCTGTTGCGTTCCTTACTTTCAGGAGTCGTTTTTCTCATCCTCGTCATCGCTCAACGCCAGAGCGTGCCCCGGCACCTCGCACCGCGCGGGGCGCTGGGCGGAGCACGCGCCCGCACGCAGGTCGCCACGGCGCGCTCCCGGGGATGCTTGGCGCCTGAGGGCCCCAGCCGGCGGACCCCTCCCACACCGAGCGCGGCCGCTGTTTTTTGGACCGCGAGTCGCCATTCGGGGAGTCGCCCTGCTCGAGGGAGCGGCGCATGTGCGTGCCAGCTTCCAATCACGGAGCGCCGCGCAGCACAGGCCAGCGCGCGCCCATCGGGTGAGGATGGCGAGGGGGAGGGGAAGGGCAGCGGGAGGCGAGGGGAAGGAGGGTTGAGGGGG